TCCTCCTCCTCCTCCTCCTCCTCCTCTTCCTCCTCCTCCTCCTCCTCCTGCTGCTGCGGCAGCAGCGGCAGCAACACCAAGTCATTCTCAGAAGCCCTCTGTGCGTCTCATTCAAGCTAGCAGGCCCCGTCCAGCTGCCCGGCCCCCAACCAGATTCGTAAAAATAGCCCCAGCCATTCAGGTCAGGACAGGCTCCACTGGTCTAAAGGCCATCAACGTGGAGGGCCCAGTCCGGGCAGCCCAGGCTTTGAGTAGCAGTTTCAAGTTTGTGCAGGCCTCTGGCTTGGGTGGCCCGGCTCCTGCAGGAATCAGTGGCAGTGGCCTTCAGTCCTCAGGAGGTCCACTACTAGATGCAAAGCCCAGTGCAGCACAGGCATCTTCTCAAGCACCCCTTCAGTTTTTCCTAAATACTCCTGAAGGTCTCAGGCCCCTGACACTCCTCCAGGTTCCACAGGGATCCATGGTTCTGACCGGCCCACAGCAGCAGTTCCATCAGCTGGTTTCCCTGCAGCAGCTCCAGCAGCCCACAGCTGCTCACCGTCCTCAGCCAGGGCCACAGGGTCCCGCACTACGTTTGAGCACTCAAGGGCAGGCCTTCCCTGCTCAGCAGCTTCTTATGGTGAACCCCACTGGAGCAGGTAGTGGTCTGCAGCCCCAGCCCCAGGCAGCTGTGTTGGGTCTACTTGGCTCTGCCCAGGTTCCTCAGCAGGGTATCCAGCTCCCCTCTGTCTTGAGGCAGCAGCAGCAGTTGCTGCTGCTGCAGCCACAACCGCTGCAGCCACAGCCACAGCCACTGCAGCCACAGCCACAGCCACAGCGACAGCCGATCCAGCTCCAGACGCAGCAGTTGAGAGTCCTGCAGCAGCCAGTGTTTTTGGCAACAGGCGCTGTTCAGATAGTGCAGCCACATCCAGGTGGGCAAGCAGCGAGCCAGTCGGTAGTGCAGACGAAGGGAGGCAAGCCAACCCCTCCAGCGCCCTGAGGCTTGTGGTAGTTTATCTCTCTTTTAAAAGCACAGGAGCACTGACCCAAATGAATTCCCAGTTTTTACTTGAGTTTTGTGTTTTTTTCCTCATGTTTTGGTATTTTACATTTTAAAATACACACTTTACACAAAAGCACAATCCACTGATTTTTATTTAGAAACAGGGAAGTGATCTCCTAAAGGAGCATTGTTTTGCTTAAGTTACTCCTTTTGTTGTCGTTGCTGTTGATATAATTAGTTTTAATATAGTATTTTAAAGTATCCAAATCCCAACCAAGTTGAGTTTAAACTTGTGAAGTGTATAATTTCTCTAAAGCCATAAGATGGCAATACCAACAATGTTAATATTTTAACAAGATTTTAATTTTAAGTTAATATTTTAACAAGAAGAGTGCAATTTAAATTTTTTTAAATGGTGGTAAAAACATATAATCTAAAATGGACCACCTTAACTATTTTAAGTGCGCGGTTCAATAGTATTAAGTCCACCCCCACAGTTGTGCCGCAGGTTTCCAGACCATCTTACAACACTGAAACTCATGCCCATTGAATACCAGCTCCCCATTCTCCCTTGCCCAGTCCCTGGCAGCCACTGTTCTGCTTTGTTTCTCTATGAGTTCACCACCCTGGCCACTTCATGGAAGTGGAATCATATGGCATTTGTCCCTTGGTGAGTGGCTTATCTCACTTGGCATAATGTCCTCACGATCTATCCCTGCTGTCTCATGTCACATGAAGGTCATTGCTTTTTAAAAATGGTCTCACTGTACATAATATATATGAAAGTGACCTATGAACTCTGAGAAACCTCGTTCAGAAGAGTTCTGAAAGAGTGTAATTGTACTTAGATTAATAGGTTTATGCACAATATATGGAATGGAATTATTACACATTCATTTTGAAAAATAAAATGAAAGTACAGTACAGTGATGCTTGTTACACTGCAGTTGAGTACATGGGAGACTTCCAAAGCTATGGAATAGAATTAGTGGCAGATTTGCTTGTGTGACAGTCCCCTGCCCTTTCAAAGGCCCGGTCTGCACCTAGTGCTCCACAGAGCGAGGCTCTCTCACTGGCTTTGAAAAGGCGCTTCGTGGATGTTTTGTGTGCTCTCTCTTTATAAGATCATTTACATTTTTTGTAGTTTGTTTGCAAGAAGTTAATAGTGAAACATTTGAAAATCCATTTTATTGGTTTGCTTTTCAAATATTTGTAGCCTTGTTTCTTAAGTAGAACCCCCGTCTTTGTCTTTGTCTTTTTCTCTTTGTTGATGCGTCATCATCAGTTGTTCAGCCGTTTCTGTTCCCTCATTTTTTCCCTCATTGCAGTGAGACTCAAAGAAACATGAACTTTTGTGCGCTTTTGTTTTCCATTTCTTTTTCCTTTTTTAACAACTAAGGAGTAATCACAGAACAACCAACCATTGTAAAGTACAGTTGTAAAGTGGCATTTAGTACATTCATGATGTTGTACAACTACCCCTCCTGTTTCCAAAACATTTTCATCACCCACCAAGAAGTCTCTGCATCCATGAAGCACTAGCTTGTCATCTTCACACCCCCAGCCTCTGGCAACCACCAATTTGCTTTCTGTTTCTATGGATTTACCTAAATATTTCCTGTAAATGTAGTCATACAGTATGTGGTCTTTTGTGTCTGGCCTCTTTCACTTGGCATAATGTTTTTTGAAGTTCTTCCATGTTGTAAAATGTATTGCTACTTTATTCCTTTCTGTGGTTCAATAACATTCCATTGTTTGTATATAGCACATTTTTGTTTATTAATTCATCTGATGATGGACACTTGGATTGTTTCTACCTTTTGGGCGCTGTGCATAGAGCTGCTGTCAACTTTCATGTACAAGCATCTGTTCTAGCACCTCATATTTTGCTCTTTTACAACCTTGAAGGGCACCCTGTGTAATACTTGTTTTTCTAGGTACACATCTATATTTCTCTGTTTTTTGCCTTAATGAAATAGAAGGAAATTTGATCTGGCGGTTCCAAAAGACGTCAGTAAAGGGACAGGTATCCAGTGAATCTTACTTGGTGAACCCTTTTACTAATGCGCTACCGATGCTGTTAAAGATTTGACCAACTTCAAGCAAACACATCGAATTTCCCAAGTGACACCAAGTCCATCAGAGCAGCCTGAACATAACTGGGAATGGTGCCTGCACTTTTAAGAAGCGAACCAGTGCAATGACCAGTTGTAGAGAAGAGTTTATGCATGGCCTTCAGAGCTAAGCAGTGACCTGAACTCCGTATATCACCAAATTTGGTGTAGCTTTCTCCTTTGCCCTCTGCTTCTTTCAAGTAGTACATGGAGATAGCAGCTAAATTTGTGCTTCAGTGATGTGACCTTCCCTTCCCAGGCAAGCAAATAAATTGAGTTTTGTTTCTGATTATCATTTGGTGGTCTTTATTTCCTTATAATGATCCTCAACATAGTTGATAATTGAATGTAACTGCCACAATGATGTAGAGGAAAGAATATAACCCTTGAAATGAAACCCCAGAGTATGTATTTATTTAAACACCTATAGAAGGAGGATTTTCCACAGTAATGTTCGAGATGGGGGAGAAGACAGACCAAAGAAAAGTAAAAATGCCTCTTTAGGACCAAGATTTTATTCAACCCTCATCTCATTGTGTCCTTCAGCAATTTAAGCTAGATTTACAGAATAGTGAAATGTTAATAGATGAGTACACAATAGAAAGAATGAGAAATAGCTTGGTGCAAAAGTAATTGTGGTTTTTGCCATTACTTGTTTTTTGTGTTGTTTTGTTTTGTTTTTTGTTTTTTTAGATGGAGTTTTCACTCTTGTTGCCCAGGCTGGAGTGTAGTGGCACGATCTCGGCTCACTGCAACCTCCACCTCCTGGATTCAAGCGATTCTCCTGCCTCAGTCTCCCTAGTAGCTGGGATTACAGGCATGTGCCACCACACCTGACTGATTTTTTTGTATTTTTAGTAGAGACGGGGTTTCACCATGTTGACCAGGCTGGTCTCAAACTCCTGATCTCAGGTGATCCACCTGCCTCAGCCTCCCAAAGTGATGGGATTACAGGTGCGAGCCACCACACCTGGCCAGTTTTTGCCACTACTTTTAATGTCAAGAAGCACAGTTACTTTTGCACTAACCAAATAGAGGCAGGCTCAATATTTTAGTGGCTTATTGCCCTACCGCAAGTCAGAGACCAGGACACAGACCAAGGAGATGATAGAAATAAGATTGCAAGAGAAAAGTATTGACCAACCCAGGAAGTACAGATATTTGTATCTGCACAGAGAATTTGTACTTATTTATAAGTGACAAGTTTAAATAGCTGTCATTCTGTATTAGATTTCTGTTTTGGGAAAAACACCCAATTCTAAGAAACTTATCTCTTAAAAGCAATGGTAACATCTTAGTGAACAGGCTGTCTTCTGGGTCCCACTTCCATTTCTCCCACCTGTCAGCTAATACCAATATTGTCGTTCATTTTTGTTGCATGCTGCCTCCCTGAAATGTCACCAAGACAACCTGTTGATTAGAGAAAGCTGATTTTATTCTTACTGGTAAGATAGAGGACTACTTTGATACAGTCTTAGTAGTATTGCAAGCCATGAAATATACTTTTCCATAAAATCTAATTAAAATAATTCTTCATCTCCAGGACTTTAGTATTTCATCTGCAGGGAAAATGTACTTAGCTGCTTTCATTGCATCCTGATAAACACGTAGGCATAAAATATAGGATCTTTTCCCCTCTCTTCTTTCTACGTGCTAGACACTGTTCTCTTTTACATGTTTCACTCACTGAGTTCTTGCAAAAACCACTTACAGTTATAAAAGAGGAAACAAGGCATGGGGCGCTTAAGTAATTTGTTCACAATCACCCAGCTGCAAAGTATCAGAGCCCAGATTTGGACCCAAGCTTCCTGGGGTCAGAGACCACATTCTTTCCCACACAACCCTCTTTACTGCCTCACTGAGGGCAAGACGTAGGCCTGTTCCAGGGGGCTCACAATATGGTTGCAGAGACCCCATGACGTGGACGAAATGACAGATGGCAGTCTGTCATTTCGCTGTATGTTGACGTTTGAGGGGAGCTTATACGTGACGTCTCTGCCATAGGTTGACACCAGCTGCAAAAGAGAGGGATCCAGCAAACAGCTGGACATCAATATATCTCTTTATTAGTGATGCTCATATATTCAAGGACATAATTTAGATCTGGCTTCCTCAGTCACAGGCAGGGCTGGAGGCAGGGCTGCTGTGGGCTGCAGATCCCTCCTATGATCCTGGCCACCCCACTGGGGAGAACTGAGTGGGCAGGGAGAGCCCACTTTACTCTAATGAAGAGCTTCTTAACCCCTAGACAATAGGCCTCTTTGGTATTTGGTGAAGCCCATGGATCCTTTCTCAAAACAACATTTTTTTTTTTTTTTTTTTTGAGACTAGTTCTTGTG